CAATCTCTTCTGTCGGCTTAGGTAGTTTCAACGCAAGAGGCGAAGACTTCGTAGGTATCTTACGTGCAGTGGAAACCGGCAGTTCCCTATGCCATACTTGTGGTCTTGGTGTACATGGTCCATGTCCTGTCTCTGTGGGTAGATTTTGGGGCTAGTTCCTCGTGACATCCTGGTTTTCGCCAGGTTCCTTAGATTGTTGGTGGTTGTGGCAGGAGTTAACGGCGTTCCGGACCCATGTGTCACATTCACTTACGTGTTTGCCTTGCCATGAAGTTGTAGTGCCAACGTGGTACATTCTTATCTCAGGCATAGTGTGCTAGTCTTAGGCAAATGTTGCACGCGGAGGCTTCTTGAGCCTTTGACACCGGTGTGTTGCAAGCGCCACGGTCATCATAGGCTCCTTCCTTGTTGACGACCATACGTTCCACCTTTGATGAGTTGAAGCCGACCACTAAAAATGTCGGTTGTCGACATTCATGTTTCGCTCGTCTCTTCATTTTTACGAACGGGATTCTAGGAGGCATATAACTTTCACACTGACTCCACGAGTCCGCCGGTTTCGGAAAGTGCCATGTCTGGCGCGACAGTGATACAAAGGTCCCAGAAGCTTGAGGCATTATCATGCTTAGCTCCTTTGCACAGACTATCTTCCTCCACCCTCCAACGTAGCTAACCGGGCTACTGCTTGTGGCCCTGTCTTCTGCGCCACTAAAATTGGTTGTACCAAGATATAAAGGTAAATAAAATAATTGAGAATCGTAAATAAAACCAGGTTAAATTAGAAAGGGGAAGAGATGTGCGAGACGGTGTTCCACGAGAAACCTGCTACTTTGCCTTTCTCACTGGATCAACAACTTAAACCGCAAACTCTAAGTGTGTATATATAAACCAAGAAAGATGTTTCTCGGTGAATGGTGCCCGAAGAGAACCAGAGACGACAGCTGTTGAACGGTTCGGACGGTTACAGAGCGCTGGGAAGAAATGTTTTTGTGTTTTAGTGTTGGCTACGATGTTACTAGTAGCAACTTTTTTACGTCCACTTGGCTAAACATTTCGTCTTTACCCTACTTGCATGAGCTCCCTCGAAGTTACCTATGTTGACTTTGTGGAGACGACGAACCTGCAGGTGGATATAGAGGATGAGAATCTAGCGCAGTTGAAAGGTAATCTCAGCACTTTATCATTATAAGGAATTTCTGCCAAGTGACTCACTATCCATCACTTGCGATGCATCCAAGGGCGAACCATGCGCCTTTGTACCTCTATAAACGAGAGGTCTTGTCTCCTCCAAAGTGGACGGGATTTCTCGTCCTAGTATTCGTTTTACTGCGGGATTAGTTGCTGACCAGAATGCCAGAAAAAAATGTAAGTCGAGATTTTGACAAGGGTTCAGGGCTTATTTGGCGTGCCAGAGGTCAAAAGTTAAGAGGCATATTCGTCCACTTGCTGGCAGACTTTACGCGCCCAGATATTAGACTGGTTCATATACGTGTTACCATCGTCGGGTCACTACCTCCACCAAGCATCTTCAGTTGTACTCTGAAGCATACATAGAGGTTAACGAGGTGGCCAGTAGCAAAACCTCCGCATGACATATTTATCGAAACAGTAGCGAAAAATGTATTACCCACCACTCCATTCTTAATTCAGCGTTCTAAGTATCATTACATCAGAGAGAGGTACATAGTCCGGGAGTTGTTTGTTTCAGCAACCAGCAGACCCTCTTCGAACCAAGCGTGTAAGAACTACTGCACACCATCCTGTGGCTAATGGTATTGCTGCAGGGTTCCGTGGGCAAATGAAAGCTGTATTGGTCGCAGGAAACACTGATAACAATAGGGTGATACGCTGTCACTAGTTCTTCCAGGCGTGCACCAAAGTGTCAAACAGGACACTGACTGCTAGGGACGGTAATAGTGATAACGGTAGTGATAGTATTTGTTCTCGAGTATACAGAAGCGTATCAATTTAACAGATATGGTTTAATACGGTTGGTGGTGAAAAATCCTTGGCAATGTTGTTTATTGTCTCTTCACCCTGGGTAGCTGAAAAAGCGATGCACTTTAAGTCATTTATTAACTTTTTCGTGCCTATCAGTAGGCATGACGTTTTCTGCTAGAAATGAAAACCATGTTTCATGAATATGTAAAAGCCTCACGCAAAGAAGGGGAACAAGTTTAGCAAGTTCATTATAGAAAAGGTGATGCTAGCTTCATTACTCAGGGAGCACCATGAGAAAGATCATGACTCAGCGCGTTGGTTGTCTCCCGCTTCTTTAAATGTGCCAGTTATTCCTTGTTTTTCAAGGTTGCTGTAAACTCTACATATAGGGCCCTCTTTCGCCAATAAACATTTTCAGTCCGCTACACTATAAACTGAGTTGGTTGCCAGACTTTTGATTCCCCCTTGCAAATCACTCAGGTTGACCTGTTTCAGCCCCCGGTTATCAATCGTCAAGTATTATCTTTCGCTTTCACAACTCTGCTTCGTAGCAATTTGTTAAGCCAAAAGAATTGCGGATAAACTTTAATTCGAAGGGAGTAGTGACTTAAGTTCTGGGTACATCGTTATGCTCCGCGGGAATATGATAATAAACCCGCAGGAGATCAGTCTGAGCAAAAATATATACTTCCGTCTTATAGTTCATAAAATCATGCATTTGAAGGGTTAGACATCTATCCAGCACCGTGTGATTATTTGGCCCTCAATAATCCCCACGAAGTTGTGCTTCACTCGATGCCTCTTCAGGAACAATGTGCAGGGGCGAGGAACATAGGTTTCCGAATTTCAGACGCCCACCGAGTTCCTGTATTGCTATGCATAGAGTTTTGGATCTAAGGGCCGAGGTTTCGATGAAGCTGGAGGACCTTTTGTGATAGTATGGTGTGTCACCGTATGTTTCGGCGAAAACTTTGTGCGGCATCGGAAAATTCTCACAGCAGGGTTCCACAAGTAGATGTAGTATTTACCGGGGTTAACACCAGATTTATTGCTCTCGCCCGTGACGATGTCCGAGTTAGAATATTAGCAATGGTGGCTAACCGGTCTATGGTGACTAGGGTCAACCAACAGTTCGTAGTGTTAAAGGAAATCCACGCGGCGATGGGAGACGATATGTCAGTCTGTTTTCCACCACATGTGGCCGCAAAGAGCCTCGTGCAGCCCTTCAGCTTATGAATTTTTCAGATATTGAACAGACACACCGCAAGATCTAGTATTTTCCGGCTCTGGGTTGATAATAGAGGTTAATTTCTCTGGCTTAGATTACTTATTCATACTTTATATACGGCATTGTAGATTATAGTGGTCCGGTGTTCTGCGAGGTTTGACTTTTTGTCGTGGACGTTCCGTCGCCAGGTTTTGTGAAGTTGGTGCCGAAGATGGCACCAAGCCTGGCGATGAAACACCCACGAAAATATCAAAGCTCGGAGGACATTGAGCCGCCATCTTACTCATCTTGAGTTACAAATCTTTTCCATCACTTCAAAACACCATTGTGGATGTTGTTTGAAGTCGTTGCCTCTGCTACATGTCACTATCAAGCGATCAACAGACACCGCTTACTAAGGACATTGTGTTAAGGATTAGATTGCACAGGGATTTCTGTGGAAGCTCAGTCAGTGGTCTATTCACTTGTGAAAAGGTTGACCATGTCTACTGCCACCCCACACCCAATCCTTGTTCCCTCTGTTTTTGTGGGAACACAACCATAATCTTTATACTGGCTTCGGCGTCGTGTGCAACAGATTGTAGTGGATTTACGTCAGGGATAGGATTTTCAAAGTTCGGCGAGATCACAGGGACACAAGCCTTTGAAGGAATTGTCCTGGTGTGAGCTCGACAGACGCGGAGACCAATCACTAATTATTCGAACTTGTTATATACCCACGAATATAACAACAAGAAAGAACACAATAGCGTAGTCCGATGGAATGGCATATTTGCGAGGCTGTGACAAGATACCGATGCCACTCGGAAGTGGAAACTCAATGGTTTCTCCACTGGTAAGTCTCTTCCGTTGTGCCCACTGCGAGAAGTGGCCCCTGACTGGCTGAACTTATTCTGAGGTGTCCTGGAGAATGAAAAAATACAATAACTGGGATTGTATGTCGATCACAGCCATCAGTATCCTTTGACGTTTTGTTCAATGCTCTTCGCACCTGGAGTGTCAATGAAAGTCCTTAATACCACGAAAACGTTTCTTAAAAACGAGAAACATTTGTATATGAATACATCAAAACAGATTTTATGCTTATTCCATTTTTGAAGAAGTTTCATTGCATGGCAGTAAATAATTGAAATAAAGAGGTAAAATGTGGGAGGATTTTCGCAATCCCAGTATGTAAAAGAGTGGTGCCTCGGAAAAAATTTAGGGTTAAAAG